GTTCTTCCAGTTTAGATGTCATAAAACCAAAACGATACATTGTTTTTTTTTTTTTGCATAAATAAACGACATATGGATATAAACTCATAGATCTTACCCTGCATCAAGAAGTTCGAATCGAACATATGTTGCATTATCCTCATAAGCATCGCTGTTTATCTCACAGAGATCACCCATCTTCAACACGGTTCCCATTACATCTATATCGAATACAAAAAAAAGTGATATTAACAAAACGATATATTATACTTAAATTGTCACAAAACTAACAGATGGTTACCAATATTACCAATTAAAAAATCAAAATCTAATCCGCGAGTCACGATGTCAAAGAAGCGTGTGCAATTGAGATGCAAGTGTAAATTATGGGTTACTGGAGAGATAGGAATCACGACCGTATGAGATCCGAAAATAAACCGATGCCTGTTTACGGTTATGCATATTGAACCACTGGCCTTCTTAACAACGAATCGACGAACCCTAAACCAGTAACCTTGTTTAAGTACAGGTCAATGCAGAGCGATTTCATCGGGCATGACAGTTGCGCCGATACGATGACCCTAAGATCGATTTCGCATAAGTTCAAGTGTAAAATCCAAAAGAAAAATTGCTTTTAAAAACAACCCTATGAAATATATAAAGAAATAACAACTACATAACGAAATACCCGATCATCAGCGAGAATCATCTCAATTGTATCACCAAAGAAATTTACATTCTTCCAGAGTCGAACAACTTGCACACGAACTTCACCGCCGGTGGTGTAATAATCTAACCTAGAGATATCACAACATGAGACATTTTTTTTTTATCTGTCAAGAACACAAAAGGAAAAGTAAAAAAAAAAATAAGGAAAGAGAACACATATATATATATATATATATACGCGTTACATTCTAGACAGTTATTTCCTTTTTCAACCCAATAAACTTATGGAAACATACACCATTGAATATGTATTATTAAAATAAAGATTAATTTATTTATAGGTTTTATTTTAAATGACAACAATTGTCCGTCAAAGGCGTCTTTTCATCCGTTAATGTACTTTTTCGAGACATTAGCAGCATGCAATATGAGAGAATAAAATATAATTGCATCTGGTGTACTAAGCATACACGCAACCGAGATACGCGAGCATACCGAGTCAAAAATAATAAAAAAATACAATAGTTTCTTCAGTATACAATCATTACATCAAGCCAGTGAACGTAATTTTCCTAGACAATATTTTTATAAAGCCAAAGAAACAGTTGGGGAGAAGGGTTACTTTGTTGTTTATTTTTAACAATGTATATGAGAAAATGGGGATATATATAACACCCAAATAAAGGTTATGGAAAGTGTCGCGTGAATCAGTTCATTTTACGTATTTTTCAAAAGAAAAATGTTCTATTTTTGGAAAGCTGCAACTTATGATGAATATTCTAGATAGATTATTGGTTAACACAATTTATTTGTTAAAGGAAGAGTCGAATTTTGGTTATAACACAAAAGTTTTTGACCCAAAACAGTCTTGTAAATACAAAAAAAAAAGTGTCTAACAAAACTAATAATATATATGGATTATCGATTTTGAATCATTCTAATCGGCCCAAACCATTAGACATCATCTGTATCCAGCCCATATAATCTCTCTGTAATCCTGAAATTTCAATAACAAAATCATGTAGATCTAAATATACATTTTTTTTTCATAAGTCAATTTAAACAACACATCGAAATATACTTACCTATTGCGCAAGGTCAAAACTTCATCAATAGGTGAATCAGTGATAAAACGGGACACACCATCATCATCATGATCCTTGATAGACACATTCTCTAAAACATATATATTGGAATATTGTTATGTTATATACAACGATTTTATAAATAACATATTGATGTATCATCAGAGAACATACCCCCGTCAATTACTACACACCAATCGGTTAACACACATATAGCAAAAGGACCTTCGTATTCTCTACACTTATCTCTTATTTCAGTTGTCAACTCACCATGTGCAACACATTCTAGCATGTACTCCCTATATTTTGACAAAGAATGTAGTTAATAATTAATTAGTTAAACTTCAAAAACCTACAGTTTGAGATATACTTACTCATCATCTATTATATTAAATAGAATTGATGATGTAGTCGTCCCATCCGGGTATGTAATAGTAAAATATCTAGCATCTTCAACGACTCCAATCAAATCTGCGATTGTAATTAGTCAAAATTAAGACATTAGTGCGAACTATAAATTTTGCATTATAAGAAGATACCAAAATATTCTTACCAATTAGATAATAATGAGCATCTGGGAATTCATAAATCGAGAGGAATGATGCAAAATTATAGAACGAATTATTTGTTAATGGTAAAGCTGGTGAGATCGTTGTTCCCTGTGTCAGTGTAATAACGTAATCGTGTTTTGTAATACTTTGGATATTATTCCAGTTGTAAGGATTCAAAAGAAATCCAGTCAACATAAACCATTGATCTTCTTCGCATATTTGATTGAAATGCTCCATCATCTGATTGTTTACCCGAGCCTGTATTTTACAACCCTAGAAGTTTATACGATAACATTAGATCAACAAAAGAACAAATTATTGTATGTTAAAACAATAAGCAAAATCAATAATAATTATCACAAATAACATTTAAGTTAATGAAATTTACTCTTTCATCGACCAGAATGAAATTTAGACTTCGATTATCGTCCGAGTAATCCACCACCCATTTTTTGAGTATCTTCACTATAATTCTCCAGTCAGATCTTTGAGAGTCCAATTGACGAACAAAATCATAATCTGCCATTGCGTGATGCCTATCGTTTAGGGTTATGCAATTTAGAGTCTATTTATAAGAAAAAATGTGATTTTATATTAATCTATAACCGAAAATTAAGAATATTAACATTTCAGGATAAATATAGATAAAAAAACAATATTATCTTCGAGTAAAATAGATAGATATATATATTGAGATTTTTCTATTTTAAATTATGTTAATATTCCAATTCTCATTGTTAACAATTATTAAGATAGTTTACTATAAAACCATCTATATATGTTAAATGACAATTTTATTGCAATGAATATTTACATTAGCTAAATCACAATCATGCACATCGTTTCGTATCTTCACCCAAGTCTGAAATTAATATTTAAGCATATATGTAAACAATATAGTATCACAAAAAACTATATTAAGGGAGTAGGGTTAATGTCAAAATAATTATCTTACTTTGCCCGATGTGGTTTTGTTTGAATTATCTTACTTTCTTATAAATTTATTTTTGTTTGAATTATTTTAAAAGAAAAAATTTGAACAGTTACCATTTAAAGCCCCTTTACTGTCAAAACCAACAACAATCCACTAATTTATGTCAAGACACTTCCATATTGATATTGACCGATTTGTTCGTTTCACGTGCCAGAGAGAATATATTCCATGTTTTAAGTTTCACCAAATATACACGCAATCTCAATAAGTAAATATACTATTTTACTAAATATTTTTGCTAAATTGCAACACTTTCCATAAAATAATATGATCTCTCTCTATGGCTTATGTTATTTGGACAATTTTATGTTTCAATATTTTAGGAAATGACATATTCATACAACATCATAACAAAAATGCCATTTATGTAGACTTTTACATTATAATTTTATGTATCTACTTGAGCATTTTTCCTTAAAATTATATGAAATAGAAAAACTGGAAAGTCAAACGGTTAGTTGCAAACATAAAGTCGCATAATCTTCCCCATAAAAAAATTGAAAAATGTGAAAATTGATTATTATTGCACACCTTATAAATACTGACTTGATGGTTTCTTTTCAAAAAACTTTAAAATATTTTTCAAGTACCATTATCGTTTCTGAGAGAATTCATAAGAAGATGGCGAACACAAACGAAAAAAAATTCGATGAAAATGGCTTGTTGATCATCAATCCCCCACCATTGGTAATGAGATTCGGTGTCGTGGAACCAAACTCACCACCTTCACCAACAGATTCCGAGATAGAGCAAGAAGAATTATGGGAACAAATACACTTATTCACTGCATCAAATCAGAAAGCCAAACAGAACACTCCTCTGGTAATACATCCTATTTACTAAAGTTTGTTTTAATCATGTTACACAATGAATAATAAAATCTGTATATTCTACTTATGGAGGATGACAAAGGCAACACATCTAATGAGACATCCCAATCAAGTTGCACAAAACGAAAACACGACCTGATTCTAGATCTGGAGATAGGGTTGAAGTGCATGCGTTGCGGTTTTGTGGAGACAGAAATTCGACACATGGATACCGCCGAATGGGTACGTGATCAGAAATATATTTAGATCTAAATTATGAAAAATTGTCTAAAATCTATGTTATTGAGTCATTATAGTTTTTTATTGATTGCCCATTGAACTCTATGTTGTAGAAACAATTCATGTTTAAATATAATATTGAGTTAGTTCAAAGCTATATAGTTTTACAAAAATCTAAATCGGATTGTTTGTGTCTGTGTTTAAAGGGAAAGGAGAAGGAACGTAAAAAGAGGAGATCTGGAGTTTAATCAAGAACAATATCAGTTTCAAACCAAATTCATGTTTTTTTTTCTGTTTGTAATGATCACTTTAAAGACAGTATGTACTTGGTTTTATTTTCTAAAAACTATTAAGTTTATTTCGATGACATGATAATTTGGTTTTGAAGCATTCTCGATGAAATGTCAATAGATGCCCAATAATATGCTACAATTAAAGTTTGGTTAAGATATGTTATCGAATAGAGTTTGTCACTGGATTATCCGACTACAGTTAAAAATCAGAGATCAAACCATTAATACATGAGATCCAACTTAGTGAAAAATCGAAAAACGTTAAATCTATTAAAATCTATAAAACCGAATGTAATGGTCTTATACAATAAAAAGAACTAACATATTTCGAGATACATAGAGACAACATATCACAAAACAAAACACAATAAAAAGAAATATCATATCTTGTCAAAAACCTCCTTGTAGACGACATTCAATGTTTTGTTTTGTGGTTTGTTGTCTTTATCGGTGATCAATATCTTCAAACCTTCTCTTGATGTAACCCTCGATACAGCGACATAGAGTTGCCCATGAGTAAAAACCGGTCTTGGAAGATACAAACCAACCTTTTCGAGTGTCTGTCCTTGGCTTTTGTTTATAATCATTGTAAAAGCTAATGTGATAGGAAACTGCTTGCGTCTCATCCTGAAAGGAAGTTTCATCTCCGAAGGAGAGAGGAATATCTTAGGAATCAGTACCTTTTCATCAACCTTGCTACCTGTTATTATCTGAGCCTGGAGAACATAATTAGCCATCTTAATAATGATGAGTCTTGTGCCATTACACAACCCATTCTTAGGGTTGATATTTCTTAGAAGCATTACAGGAGTACCCTCTCTCAACTTCAGGACATGATTAGGGAAACCAGACATCTTGATACTATTTAAAAACTCCTCGGTATAAATCATATTGTTGGAGTCACCTTTATTCTTACTGGCTACACTCTCTGAGGGTACTTCAGATGCATCATTGTAATTGACAACTTCTTCAGTCGTATCAATGCTATCACAGCTAAGATAGGTCCTTTCAACACCTGTTATATACAAAACAACCATTGTATTATATAAATATAAACAAATAAACTAAGAGGAATTAAAACAAAATAAACATACCCGATAACTTTGAAAGCATATAATCATTTATTGTATCTACATCATCGTTTCTTGGACTCAGTATGGCACGGTCTTGGAAAAATTTAGGATCAGTCTTTTTCGAAAACGAACTCCCATAAATTTCTTTGACGATCGTTTTTATAGGATCTTTACAGTCTTTAATCAACAGATCATCAGGAATATCAATCACGGCTTCACCACTACCATCGTCATTTATCGTACCATCACCAATGTCTAAGATCCACTTTGTAAAAGCAGTTCGTTCAAGCATCGCACGGCTATTATCTCCAGATATAAGTCGCATGTTCTGTGTAAGTCTCAACACTCTACATTTGTGCCACAGAGGTGACGAATTCAAAGTGGCCATAAGTATCTCTGTCTTCCGGCATTTGGAATCACTGGCAATATTTGCCTAAAATCCCCTCCTAAAACAATGACCTTATCACCAAAGGGCTTATCAACTTCTAATATATCACGCATCGTTCTATCTAGAGTCTCAAAACAGTCTTTACTCATCATCAACGCCTCGTCCCATATAATGAGTTTAGCAATCCTTATCAGGTCGGCAAGATTCGACTCCTTCTTGATTGAACAGAAGGTAAACTTATTAACCACAATAGGGATTGCAAATCTTGAATGCGCAGTTCGACCTCCTTCTAATAACAACGCAGCAATCCCGCTCGATGCAACCTTGAGAACAACATCACCTTGGGAACGTAGAGCAGATCCTAATAGACTCCACAAATAAGTTTTACCAGTACCTCCAGAACCATAAACAAAGAACATAACTCCTTTGTTCTTATTTACTGCTTCTAGTATCTCATCATAAACACTTCTCTGTTCACTTGTTACAATGGCTAACATCTGCTCGTTTCTTACTCTAAGAGTTTCACGATTGTAATTCCTCTCATCCCGAATAAGAGGATTATCACGTGACTCCAGAGTAATATCTTCAGGAAACGGCATAGGTGTGAATTCTTTTAAGGATCTCCCACTTACACGTAAAAGAAGTTCTATTTCGACCAGAGTAAAGTCTTTAACTTGCTCCTGAGATAGACTAACAGCTACACAATTTCAAAAAAATTACAAAAGATAAATTAGCTATCAATATCTTAAAGATATATAATAACAACTACGCAAACAATAACTATATGACTTATTTTGATCCCTGGCAGCTTTTCTGTAATTATATATGATGTCATCTGATAATACCTGCCATGTAGCATCCCAAACTCTAGAAGGAATGGATATACTTTGAGTAGTGAGCAGGATCACAAAAAGACGACGGAGATAATTGGCAGAAAGCCACAAGCCGCCCTCATTGATGGCCTCAATATATTCTTTGTCATCATTCAATAATCCATACGCATAGCAAGCGTCTTTGAACGAAGAATGTAGAACTTTGTTGACCGTTTTTATATCATCAAAACTACGTGGTCCTTTGACTAAATTAAGCAGAAGCCTTAAATAATACGCTTCACCTGCCCCAATGGGTACGTACGTGATTCTACCAAGAGCAACTCTCCTTGATCGTGGCGTCCATATTCTCTTTGTGTTATTCCACACCAATCTCGTAGGAAATTGCGCATAAGTTAACGTCCTCGCCAATTCATACATATCGTTGCACTCCATCCAAGCAATGAATTTTGACGTACCAACTGAGACACGATTAATAACCTCGTCACCTGGATCATCCTCGTTGTATATGACCATTTGCTGATTCGGTAAATGAAAGGGTAGTTTAATTACAGAAACCGTGCGATGGTGAGTATGATTACGGAAAATTCTCCACGTAGACTCCGAAGGTGCTACATACCTACATAGAAAGACATTATTAAATAATGGAAGATTGGAATTTCAAAGATATAAAATATGTGAACAAAATGTTTAAAACATACCTACAATTGAAGTGTTTCTTAATCTCGTTTTCTTTATCATCATTCTTGACAGTTGCACGAATGTAGTCAGCACCTTTATGAATATATTTGAATAGATACTTTACTGATCGAGATTGTACACACCATTCGACGTTGATATGAGCCCTATAAAGCAGTGTGAGACTCCTATTATAAGGAACCACAAATCCATTATCACATTCAATACCCTTTTTAACGATAACTTTCTTGTCATTACGTCGCCTGTATATAAGATATCCAACATCATCTATTTTAGTGATCGGACTGTAAGGTTTTGGAAAATACTTTGTACATTTTCCTTCAGCCATGCAAACACTATCCTTATTCCAAGCACCACATGGACCATGCATCATAACATCTCCTACTATCTCATACAGCGCTGGATCAATATCCTTGTCAAGAATCTCAGCACATATTATCTTATCAATGTCATCACCAGTTGGTAGCTTGTGACCAGCTTCTAAAAAAAGAACGATGAGTGCATGAGGTAGCCCCCGTTTTTGAAACTCAATCGTGTAGATCGCTGCAACGAATAAATGGTAGTTTTTAAAAGATTAGTTAGCATGATCATCTAGCAATGTTATGGACATTATCTTGCTAAACAAAATAAGATACTTAGTTTAATAAAACATACCGGCTTTTACGACACCTAACACATTTTCTTTGGTGAGCCTGTGCATGAGATCATCTAGTTTCATCTTGAACACTCGCGTACATATATCTGGTCTATCATCTTGCTTCAAGTTATGTCTTTTTAGGTGCCTGGTAATCTCAGGCCATTTGGGATTACACGTAAAGGTTATGAAAAGATCCGGAAAACCAAAATGCTGGCAAGTAGTCATCGCATCTAGATAATGTTGCACCATATACCTTGTACCACCAGTATAAGAAGAAGGTATAATAATACGTTTACCCTTGTCAGAAAGATCAATGTCACCTCCATCAACAGTTTTCTTTATTTTGTCATAATTTTCGCAATGAAGTTTAGACTGATTCATTGATATGAAACGTAGTCTATTAGTCTCAATCATCGTGTACGCATCCACTAAAAACTGCTGGAACAATCTTCCAGATAAAGGGATGATTGGTGACTCACCAACCCTCTCTTGTATGCGGTAAGCAAAAAACTCTCTCATAGTAATATGCAACCTTTTCCTCCCTTGGGTATCTACAAAACCAATATCGATACCAAGTCTGAACCCGTCCTCACCATAGGGAAACAATAATGGATATTGCAAAGGCAGATACGCAGGATGTAGTTCACTGATCCTTTTGAGATTCCCAGTCTTTTTACACTCGATGATGATATCACGTGCATCTACCTCACCATTGAAATCATTAGGTATCAATGCAGCAACTTCATTAGTAGCTGGTAGATTCTCAGTCCTTCCATCGCTTTTCCTGTCACACTTTAAAATTATCATTAACCGGCTTGTATCATCGTTAGGATCAAACCTTTCTCGAACGTTTCGTAATGCATCCACATGTTTGTTATGTTTATCTAGCATATTTTTTATTTTCTCAACAACCTTCACTCGCAATTTATCAGCCGGTCCCGTTTTCCTGTAAAATTTTTAAAATAAATTCATATAACATTTAACATTTAATTTTTATCAGCAAATAAATTTTTATCAGCATATAACATTTAATAACAATACATATATGTTTTAAAATTGATCTCAATGATTAAATTTAATATAAACCAAAAGAATAATAATCATACACACAAGCAGCTATTCGGTTAGATGTTTCATTTGCGGTATCATATATATATAGCTGTAAAAAAGCTGGTTCTTTTCCAGGAGGTGGTAGCAACTCCCCTATAGAATGGTAGTTCTCCCCACTTATTTGGAAAATGTAAGGACCTTTCCCGTTGTTGATTTCTTTATTTATTTTTCCTCCAAGAGAAGTGAAAGAAAACATTATATTATACGCCCGGATAAACTCACGAAAGTGATCACGCAAATTACCATCATTATACATCAATGCTAATAAGGATTTCGGAGGGGTTTTAAGAAGTGGAAGAACGACTTTACCCTGACCACAACACATGGAGAATATAGGCTTCCCACGACGATATCGTTTACCCAACCTCTCTCCATACCACATATAAGCCTTACAATTACCACATATATATATAGGATCACCATCGTCGTAATAACCTAATTAAAATAATATTCATTGCTTAGTGTTAATTACACAGTAGTTATATATTATGTATTGAATGAAATATATTAGTACAATGAAAACCATAACCTCCATCTTTCAGACCAGGACTAACTGATTCCAATAAATCTGTTCTAGTAACAACGGTCTCTGTTGCATCCCCATCACAAAATTCAGAGGTTTTAGCACGTTTTTTGGGTCTTCCTTTCTTTTTATTACCAGGCCTCGATTTTTCCACATCCTCACTTTCCGACATAGAGTCTTCATCATTATCCATATCGGACTCAGAATCAGTAGCAATAAAGCAAGCAAACTCTTTGGTGTTGATAGAAGTAGCCAAAAGATCTGTTTGTTTTTTTAACGGAAAAAATAATAAGTGTAAATCAGGCATATAATTATTAATAAACATTGTAATTACGAAAAAGAAGATCAAACCAATAGCTTCTTTTCTTTTTCTCCTCTCACGCATGATATGCATTCGTCTCTGCTGTGCATTACGAATTCCCGAGGGTGTTAGATCAGGAACTTCATTAATATTGTAACGAAACAAATCTCCAAGTTGGTCTATATCGGTTACACTGGTAGGAGCATATCATGCGTTCTTAGCATTACCACCTACAAATTCCAGTTAATAGTAAGCAAATTTATAACATGTAAATGTCTTAAAAATGTAATTTACTTAAAAAAACACATTTATTTGGAGCAATCGACGAAGATGAACTTTTTTCTGAGGACGCCCAAGCTTACGTTTCATTTTTTCTGTGAACAGCACGAACAAAAAAAAAAAAGTGTGATCTAAAAACACAATCATTAACAAACTATAAAGTGTATATGAAAGATCATAATAAATTAAGATTTTGGTAATAAAAAGAATTTCGAAATAGAAAACCTCACGATAATGTTAACATTACTTATTCTTCGCGATAATATGTCTATCTTCTCTAATGCACCATAATACTCCAATATCGAAAATTTACATTTTTCGTGATAACGTTAAAATACTATTGAAATACTTCTACATTACAATAACGCGGATCTATAAATAATTATTTATTATTCCAAATATGCAGAGTTATTCCTAAAAATATACCTCTACATTACAACAAATATATTATCCTAATGTTTTTACGAATACCGAAAAGACTATCGTTATACTACTTAGAAATTGAATATTCTCCCAAAAATATGGTTATTTAACATATCATCCAATAAATTATATCACATCTTTTTTTTTTTTTTCTCGTAGACAATTATACTACAATTCGTTACGCAGGCGTTTTGGAGATAACTATGAACATCGAAATCCATACATGAAAATAATAATTGAAAAATCTTATTTTCATACACTGCGTCAAAAGTCAAGTTTTATTCAAATCACATACGATGTTTAACACAAACCACAAAACCTAAAAATAAAAATTGATATATAAAATAATTCACTACAAGAAAAACATCATTTTACAACGGCCGAAATGGTCGTTATTTCGTCGTAATAGGGCTATTACGACAAACTACCGACGATTTCGAATTCGTCGTAAAGTCATCGTCGTAATAGACAAATCGTCATATAATATACGACGGTTTCGTTTCGTCGTAACATCGAGGGAAACAAAATCGTCGTAAATGTGTCGTACAGTTTACGACGATTTTACATCGAATTGCGTCGACTTGGTCTTCGCCTGGACCGTCGTTAAGTGGTCGTTAATGGTCGACGTAAGATCGTCGTAAAATGTACGACGCATAAATCGTCGTAAATCAATCGTAAAGTATTTAATCATTTCGTCGTAAAATCATTGTAAAGCACGAACGTATAAGCGTCGTAATTGTCGTCGTACATTTTAGTCGTAAATTCGTTGTAATATTTACGACGAATGTACGACGGTTTTAATAAAGATATTACGACGATTATACGATATATAATTGAAAATTAAAAAAAAAAAATTCGAATTAAAATTTAAATTAAAAAAAAAATTTACAATTTAAAATTTATTAAAATTTGAAATTAAAATTAATTGTAATTTACATAAAAACCCTACAGATCTAAATCTAAATCTAAATCGTCGATCCCGTCGGAACATCTCCTCGTCCGTCTGCACCGGCGGTTGCGTCCTAGTGGATGATCCGGCGGCAGACGATCCGACAACCCCATCAGCCCGCAGCTTGTCCAACTGCGCCATGAGTACCAGGTTGTCGGCTCCCATGATCTCGAAGAGACCGTAGAGCTGGTCGATCCTCGTCTCGTACCGGGTCCGCATCTGATCGATCTCCTGGCGGATAACCGGATCCGGGACCCGGACATGACCAGTCGCCGTAACTCTCGGGGTATCACGGATGGACCCCATCCCTAATACCCGCCCCTTTTTCTTTGGGGCAACCTACAAATATTTAAAAACATGATGGTTAGAAATTTAATTTAAAACTAAAGTTACATTAATTAAATATAGTAATTAAATTTACCTCTTCGAAGATCTGGTCCATCTCCGCCACCGTCAGCGTCGGGGTCGATTGGACCGAGCTACCTCCGGGAGACGTTTGACGCGCCTGCTGAGTCAGCTGCGTCTGTCGCTCCTCGATCGCCGCACAGGCGGCGTTGTAGATCTCCTCCGCCCGAGGATCCGTGAATTCGCCGTTACGCTTCTTATGCGTCTCGGCGAAAACATTCGTCATCGGAGGAAGTTCTCCTCCGTTATTTTCGACCTACAAAATCAAAATGAAAAAAATAATTAGTATCGAAAAATAAGAGTTAATTATTTGAAATTAAAAAAATTAGTAATTTTAATTTACTTACCATCATAAGCCGTCTTCCGGCAAAAGGAATCTGGCCGGAAGTGTGCGGGACATTCTTCCGATTTCCCGCATCGTCAGTAGCGTTCCTGAAAAATATTTTCATTAGAATCTATTATAAGAAAAAAAATAATGTAAATATTATTGGAATTAACTACTTACCTAGATCCGGAACACTTGGCGGCCGTAGTCTGGTTGTGCAGATCCAACCAGTACTGGACAAGGCCCCGCCAGACGGTATTGGCCATAGGCGCCGGCTTGGCCTTGTCGCCGTCAACCTCCCACTTCCGTTTCCAGTCGGAAACGGTGTTGTTGAGGCGGAATTTGACCTTCTCCTTGAATACCGTCTCCACACGTCCGTGTGCGGATGCTTCCCAATGCCAGTTTTGCTAGGAAAAAAAAGAAGTTAATAATTATTGTAAAAAGTTAAAATTTAAAATTAAAATTAAACGAAATGGTAAATTACTTACCGCAAAACACTTGAACCAAGTGTCAAGTGTGGCCTGATCCAGCTTCTTCCAGCTGGTATGGGGTTGTACGAAAAACCCCTGGATGATATCCGCAACGTTACGACCGACTGCATTGTCGGTCGTAAACCTAGTCAAATGGAGAGAGAAAAAGTAAATTAATATCAAATATATAAGAATAAATATTAATTAATTTAAAAAAATTGTAGGAAAAAAATTACGTACCAAAAGGTGCCCGAGGCTCGATCCGGGTCGAGTTTGTTCATGGTCTCACGACCGGGTTGCGCCAGAAGATCTTGTACCATAAACTGGGCATACGGTACAGGCGGGATCGGATCAGCCTCAGGATCGGCCTGTGCGGGAGCCGCTGGTTCGGCTGGTGGTGGTGGAGGCGGTGCCGGCTGCGGAACAACGACCGGTTGGGAAACCGTCCGTTGTGTTCCCGAAGACTCCGGGATGGCTGATCTGGTCACCGAGGTAGATGGGGCCGTATCGTCAGAATCGACGAGCTGTCGGTAGTGAAATCTCTTAGCCCGAGGAGCCATATCGACAGAATCTACAAAATTTTAAAAAATTTGTTACTAATTTTTCAAATATTTATTTAAATTTACAAAATCCGGGCCTATCTAAATTGCGAAACCTAAATCTAAATTCCGAACCTAAATCTAAATTCCGAACCTAAATCTAAAATAATATGTAATGAAATTAATTTTAAAAAAATACTTACAATTAATTGGCTGGGAGAGTAGGGAGAGAGGGAGAGGTTTAGTTTTAGAGAGAGAGAGAGAGATTTATAGAGAGAGAGGGGGAAGAGAGGAATGAGTGACGAAGGGGAAAAACTCGCGTCCCTTATATAGATTTTGTGATCGTCGTAAAATCGTCGTAGCTTTACGACGGTTTTACGACGATTTGTATGTATAACAGTCGGTCCACTGCATGACATGACACGTGTCGTGATGGGAGCATTTGACCGTTACGACGGTTTTACGACGATTAAACCCAAAACCGTCGTAAAATCGTCGTAACGTCTAAACATTTATAACCTCGTA